ATGTGTGTATTTTTTTAAATATCAACTTGAAAATGAAAATCACTTTTGTAATTTTAAATAAATAGTCAATAGTATAGTAATAGAAATAGTTAATGTGAAAATAGGTTGAGTGTAAAAGTGTTGGAAAGCCATGATTCGGCGTTAATGGGCCGGCTCGACCGGATTGATACCAGAGTTTCGCAGAAAACCGGAGAAAACTTTTACGTTGTGTTTCGCTATGTGAGTGTGGTAACTGGAGGCTTAATCCTCCCAAATCCCTAAATCTCCGAAACCCTTATTCTGAAAAGGCCGGCAACGCGCTCGTAGTCTTCTGGTGTTGCAGGTGTCCATGGGCGGCGCCGATTGCTTACCATCAGGTAATACATATACTAGTTTGGGGACTTATTCCATAAAAACATTGTGTCAAAACTTGTTGTGGTAACATAATGACTTATAAAAAGGTGAATAATCAATATTTCAGCTCAATAAAAGGACAATAACAAAAAGTTTATGCCAAAGAATTATCATTGAAATAGTCATTGATGGGGTAATAAATTGCTTTTGGCCATACAAAAGAAGCTTTTCCTCTCTAAAGCAAGCACACTAGGATTTTCTCCTGTGTCATGGGTGCGTTTACAAACATACAATTTCACATACATATCATTGTCCCTTCCCGTGGAACTTTAAGCTTAAACTTACCTTTGTCGTGTAGATTTCTTTACCGATTTGAATTTTCTTTTCATAACTATTTCATAAATGTACAGGAAGGGCAAGGTTAGGATTTTGTGACGTTATTGTGCTATTACATTGATCATATTAATAATTTAGTACTTACTAAAGTTCAAGTAATTTTGTAGTACTTTTATCTTCGTTAGCCAAGGAAGGAAGCATTATTTTACAAATATACATGTAAGACTAAGGACTTGCCTTAGCCCTTGCTTTTTAGCTAATTTTCCCACGCGACAAAATTAGGAGTACGACGAAAAGGTAAACATAAACGCAAGAAACTTTATTTATAGGGCTTTCGCTCTCAGACACCTTGGACGAGTGCGCTCTGATGTGAATCTACGTGGATCTAATACATAATTTTAGCTTCAACCCTAACCGTCTGGCCGTCTGGCCAATTAGTTTTTCTATTTTGGACCAGACCGCTAGTAAACGTGCGCGCCGCAGACCGTCTCCACAATCGCTAATAAACCACAGTTAAATATGAATAAAATACGCTATAAATGTGTAACGAGCGGTTTAGAAATAAAATGGCGGATGGTGACATAAATTTTCGCGCGTTCTGTATGTTTGGCGCGCTGTGTTTGCGTACGAGTGCCACCACCGAACCCTCATTCTCAACCTAAAAGTGATCTTTACCAGTGTAGTTAAGGTTGAAATTAAAGTGCTATTGATCAGTGTTATTGAACTGTCTGTGCGGTCTTCAGCGTTTTGTTATGATGCGCAAGTCGGCGCAATTGTTTGTTTTGGACGGAGTGTTATGCGCAGGCGCACCATGAGGTTTCGGCATGTGTGTGTTTTTGTACGGTTTTAGATATTTGTTCATCAAGTTCGATACTGCAGGTAGAGTTAAATGAATGTTGCCGTGTATTTTAATCATAACATCCATATTTATAGTAAAAAAGTAATACCTAATGCTATAAAATAAATAATAATAATGCTCGTTTTTATCGCCGTTTTAATGAAACGGCATTTGATTGAAAGAATAGCAATTTGCTATTTTTTGATTTTATTTACTAAAGCTATAACAAAAACTAGAATGTTATTCAATTAAAACCAGGAAAATATGGTGAGCCTTGATCAATCTTAGAGTTTTATGTTTGGATTGCATGTTCTACTCCAAGATGTTTGGAATGGCTGTTCTAGACTATCGGAAATAGAACTTTATCATAATATTCACGATTCATTTAACGTTTTCGTTTTTAGAAATGTTCTGAAACATTAGCCTTATTATAAGAAGACTTGGATAAATTCAGGTTAAATAGTATCGTCTCTGCTAAACACGAAAATAAAATGGCAAAAATACATTATTTCCATTACATAAATATAGCTCCAGAAATCAATCTTGTTAGTCTTCTCGCTCAAGATTAACATGTCTAATATATTATTATGCTGCTCGTCCAAATAATTGGAATATTTTCCTTTACTTTGCTATACAAATTGTAAAGGAAATCAATTGCAGTTTTTTCGAAAGTTTCTTATTTACGCTTTTGTACCGCAAAGTTTATACTGAGATTTAGGTGCAAAAAGTTTAATTGTTTAATATTATCCTATGCACAATCGGTGTTGCCTGCATATATATTTTTGTTCCAAAACAATCCATCGAAATTTTAACATTAATATCCTACCCTATTGTTATTTCATTGTCATCATTACCTTCAGGTTCATTGTTATCAAAAACTTTTTCAAAGTCTTCGTGTTCATTATCATATACCGCATTGTTATCTTCTTTTCCCTTTATTTCAATTATACAGATCGGTGTCCTATCAATAGGACATGCGACACTGTCGTGTGAATGTCATATATATCTTAGATTAGCCAAGATCCCTCCTATCAGGACTTATCTCTGATACTATTGTAACTTTTATTACAGTTTAGTTTCATAGTTTACCGATGTGTAATAGTTAAAACCAGATATTGTGTTATGATTTTCCAATAACATACACATGTTCTTGCGCATATTTCTGCATTCCTGTTCTTTGTTGTTCTCTAAAGATGAAAGAATTCTTTAGAAATTATTTTGCATTACACTACGTTATAATGCAGTCTGGTCATTGTAAATGCATTAGTACATTTCAATTTATGATTTAAAGATTGTTTGATGTGATAGAGTTATGTTCGCTTTCCTTGTCTGTTTTAGCTCGTTAACTATTGAGATTATTTTTGTGGTTAAGATTTCTACAAATACTCAACCTAAAAACCTTATCCTGTCAAGGTAAACTTCCCAATACTCATCAACATCACTCCGGACCAAAAAAGGTTCTCCCTTATCCTTAATTCGATGTGTTGCTCTTATTTCATCAACATTTTCTGAGAAATGTCCAGTGTGGCAACAAAACCAAGTTAGCGAACCGCCATGGAATGCTTCTTGTTAAACTTCCATTATGCCATGGTCCATGGTGAATTCCAATTGATATTTTATGCGTATACAACTATAGAACGTGTTTTATCACTTTGCCTTGTGTGTGTCGCTAGGACTGTAATGGGAATCTAACAAATAACAAAGTGATGTGAATTTCATACGGGCTGGGGTTTATTGTAATCTTGGAGTATGTGTGTAGAACCGCCCGCATGGATTTATAATGACGGTTATGAATGCAATTCATTTAATAATAACAATGTTGGCGTTTGTGCCTACACTTACAATTTTTGCCTTTTAATGGTACTAATAGATCTCAGTTTTCTAACTCACATCTCAAACCATAAACATCCACTTAAAAGCCTACCCAACACATCTCAGTCGCACAATAACAGGCCTTAAAAGTGTCAACTGGACTCTAAGAGTATATTGTTTCACGTTCTGATCATATTTCGATGATGTCATTCAATGACGATCATACACATCAGTATACAGTACAGTAATTCACGAAATCTTTACAATAGGTACCTACATTTTTATATCCCTTTCAAGTAGTGGTACGATTCGATATGATTTTATTACTTTATGCGAAGTAGCGGTTCATTGAGAGTATGAATCAATTTTTGTAGATAAATCAGTAATTGTAGTTGATGAGGTAATTTGTTTTACGACTGAAAAATTGGGACTTTCCATCGCTCATAATAAATTTATAATGTTGAATTTTAGTCATGTATAAGTTTGGTACCTTCTTGGTATTCCCTGAATTACCTAAGAAGAAATAGTAGCATAAAGTTTAAGATCTGTTTTCAGGAGTTCCATTTGAACGGTTTTTCAAATGGAACTCCTAGCATTCGATGATCGACACGCCAGCCCTAACAGTCGCCATGCCCTGCGCCTGCTAATGGCAATAAAACAATAAGATTTATTCACTGATTTCAACTGTTCTCTGCTCAAAACTATCTAAATATGCTGCAATAAGAAAACATGTATTTAGTTCTGTAATTTAAAATTTGAACACCAAATAGTGTTGTCAAACAATTTTTATGAAATATTTACAGAAACCTTCTTCTTCCTTTGTATTTTACCATTCTTTTGTAGATTTTCTAATCACACTGAACTCAGTAGCGAATTCAACGGTTCGTGTGAACGCGCCCTGATGATCGACGAGCGACACGCGAGGACAGCAGCGCACGCGCATCGTATTGAAACAATTGAGATAATGGATGTTTGAGCGCTTGATCGTTTTGGGTTCGTAAGGTCCTCGTCGTTGTGCCACTACTTACGATGATGTGTTATTTAGCTACTTCTTCATGTTATTATTTGTTATTAACGTATATTAAACACTGTTCAATGAAGGACTAAATCATTAAATAACATTTTTTTTAAAGTTTGACGTCTGCCGGATAGGAGTTCTGTTAGTCTCTCCACTTGATTTTGGAAACAGTTCATTTTTATGCTTCAACACAACATGAGTCAAAAAAACAACTAGATAGAAAGAGTATACCGATAGACGCAGACGTGTATAAAATGGCGATTTCATAATAAAATGTAGAAGTTATTGCTTTAGCTTCAGGGGAAGTCCAAACTCCATTTTATGACGTAGACGACTGTCCTCGTGTGTACTTCAGACTGATATCCTTCCAGACTCATTTATACTTACTTTGCAGTGTTGCACGGATTATGGTCAATCATGCCTGTAATTAACAGTTTCTGCTGCTTGACGCATATGCTCGTATTCTCAATAACCCAATTATCCACAAGAGAGTCGCCCATATGCGCCCATAAAATACAGTCGTAAAAGAAAACAATTGAATCATCATTACTATATCACTCTAGTTATAACCCTTTATCGTTTTTATTCCTTTTTTAATAAAAGAGTCTCATCTCATGCATTTACTTTTACAATGAACCAGCGTCGCACCTAACCGCAACTTCACCACTTTCCATTTCATTACATTCAACGCACGTTCGCCTTTGGCATCTGTTTTGGCTTCTAACTCAAAATGAACATAAACAAAACCAAATCAAACAGTACACAATGTTCTCAGAAGGATGGTTAAGACCAGGCATTGCGATTGCATCACGCATCTATATATATTTTCAGAGTCAATTTACCTGCTACATACCTGATTACAGTGATAAGTATGAGCGGGCGCCGGCTCTGATCCACAACCATAGCGTAAAAACTGTCAGTGTCACTGTGAACGCCGCCGCGAACGCACGCGCTGCGCCGCGTCAAATTGTACCGCCACGTGTTTTTGTGAGTAAATAATCAGTGGTCACCAATTATAAACAATTGCTGTGGTGGACTGTGTTAGTGAACAAGTGTCCTGGATCTAGTGGCACGTTTGGATTGCACCCAACAAGGATTTACATATACGGTACCGAAATCGAGTCGCTTTGTTTATTTACGACTTAAGGAAACGTAGGATCATCAAGTCCTATATGACTTTTCTCGTAATTATAGACCGTATTGGTCATATACGTGGTATATGGTGGTAATCAATTCATCTACGCCTGCTTAATAGCTACAAGTTGTCAATGAGAGCTGCTATTAAATTGATTGTTGTTGAAAACTACTCACTCTTATGTCTTGAGTTTAAGGATGAGAATAGAACAACAAATGTGGTGTAGGTTTAGATAATACAATTGAGCAACTGCTTATAGTGTTGTATCAATAATCAATGGAAAATAAACGGGGTTGAACAAAAACAAATGCTGTAGCAGATATCAATTGGCTGAAGTAGATATTAAAGTTTGATTCAAAGGACGTGGAGTTTTTCATTAATGATTTAGCCTGAACAATCAGCCTTGGTTCAGTTAGTTTTTTCTCTTCTATTACATTAAACGCTTTTTGCGACCTAAGCAAACTTAGACACGGCTGTTTATCGGAGACGCCAAACAAACATTGCCTTGAATGTTTCCGACTCAGAATTCACTAGATCAAATGATTTGCGACCATAACGCCAATCAAAAGGCACAATAGCATCTGTAAGAACAAGTTGTCATTCATCATTGAGTATGAGTAGTTATAATCACTAACGGAATATTTAGAATAGAGCTAGATAAGATTGTGAAATAGAATTAGATTTTGACCGTTGGATTAGTAAACGGATAAGCCTGTGTGTTACATCTAAGTATTACCGACATAGACAATCATAAACTATAGAATAATAAAAACTGGCTTGTCCAGCAAAGTCATTTTGTCCAATTAGATAATAAACATGTAGAAGACATTAATAAAATTAAAACTCTCAATGGAATAAACACAGCTGGAGATGAAGTTGAATCAAAACACATATATTTTCATAGGTACGGTTATAGTCGTGAATTAGAAATATACGAACAAGTCATTACAACTGCAAATGTCTCGTACAAACTATTGTTATTACCAACATGTGATGATAATGATGCAAATGACAACACACGGGGCAGCTCACATATGCTCACTCTGAAAGAGAATTCAAGATAATATAAAATATAGACTTTAATAAACATATACACAAGAGTGAAGAAATAAACTTAACAACAATGTCAAACGCAATATAAATAGGCAAAAGATTAAGTTATGATGGTGGAAGTCATTTAAGAAATATTGCGATGACATACATAGGTACTTACATAAACATACATTTGAACTTGATTTTTGTTGTTTTGAGCGTTTCAACATTTTTGCAATTATAAACTCTGTTTAAAGTTTTGCTTTCCTCATATTTTCTCACTCATCTATGCGACACGCGTATCATATTCCGAATTATTCCATTCGAATCCATGTTTTCTATGTGCTATCAAACCTTTTCCAAGTTTGGTCTTTCATCGTGGTAACTTTTACCATCACTAGTTACAGGCCCAGTTATCACCAGTAGCAACAAAGAAATTCCATCACTACCTCTCTACAAAATTTCAGGTACAATGTATTCATGCCTAATTATCTTTATAACCATTCGAGCGTTACAAATAACATTTGTGTCTTGACTTTCCAATCAGTCAATGACACAGGCATATCATCAGGTCTGTATGCATACGCTAATAACTTTTCAACTGACAACGTTTTACCTGTAACTGGCTGCTAACTCTCTAATTAGTATAATTACTTGGACAAATACCTCATTGTTTAACCGAGACATTATAATTCATTGTCCCGTTTCAGTGTTAAATTGCAGCTATTACAATATTGTGCAGTTAATGCATAGGACTTGGGTTTGCATTTTCTAAATTATTTTCCTTAGTTATCGTTCTTCTATCTCTATTATTTCAAATGACCTTGAAATAATAGAGATTCCAAAGTATAGAGTACTAAATTAATGGAGCGCGTGTGTTATTAAATAAAATGCTTCATAAACATTATGAAAACAAACGAAATGACACTAGGACGGCCATGTTAGTTCGGCAACTAGTGCTAACAGTTAATTATCTAAACAAGCTAAATTAGCTATATAATTACACACGTCGCCAGTCACTACGACTGCCGCTCTAATTGTGTATATGGTGCCATTGTTCTGTGCTATTACTAAAAATATTAACTTTTTCAAATAGCAGAAAATGTTAGCCTAAAATCGAATCATGCCATTTAAAACACTAAACACGTCTGAAAGTAGATAAGGATTAATTAGGAACTTATTAAAATGAATGTATGGATAGAAATCATTTTATAAAACCCACAACATTGAGGCAATTAAGATCAGAACAAGAAAAAAGGCACAGAAATCCAGTACTAGATTCCTAATCTGGAGTCGCCTGTCCGATAAGATGTATACGATGACCAATAGCAGTGAAAATGTGAATCATAACAACGTGACATAAACAAATTATAGAAAGTCCGTCTGTTTCCATAAGGTACGTGTGCCAAAATGAGAAAAGAGGTAGACAATATGCAATCAAAATTAATATACTTTACCAAATCTTCCTGATATTTTTCGTAACTGTCAACACATAATTCTTACCATTTTTGCATCGAAAAATATGAAAACAGTGATAATTATTTCTATTACAAATTTAACGACACTTGAATGTACATATTTCATGGTTTTATTACACGTACTTTACGAGACGTAGCATTAAACCACCCATTCAATTTTATTATCCATAAAATTCATTACATCAAAGACAATAAAAATCTGATGCCCTTAAAATTCTCGTTAGTCCTAAGAAATGTTCCACTAAGCGACCTCAGCGCGACCTTGACCCACAGTTACTGAGTGTAAACAATTGATTGTGATCTGTAACCTGTTCTCAAGTTGATTGTGAGGCAGGTGCCCTTTTTAGAGCATTCTGTCTCGATTCGAAGTGACAGACGTATTGGGTACATGATTAATTGTAGCGACAACGTCTTTTTGAGTAGAGAACTTTATCATAGTTTTCTATGTCATTTCAAAGTTCTTCCCATCGTAGATCAGAATATCGAGTTCTAATAGTAATAGTTATTATTGTATCCGTCGGTGTTAGTGTATTAATTTATTTTAACATTAATAATTTCTAAAAACTTCTTTATCGCCACTGTTGTACTTTTTTCACCATTGTTCTTCCTTTTAAAGATTGCTATTAAATGAAATTATATTTAAACTCCATAGTCTTAAGCAGTCGCCTAGTAAGAAGCTCGGGTTAGTTACATGTTTTTCCTTCAATTAGAGGTCTTACATAAGATGTTACAGCGAAAGGACTCGTGACGCTACGACAGGGCCTCAGGCTAAAGCTGGTTCACGATAATATTATCAGCCTTGAATATGTGGGGTAATAGCTAACAGCAATCACTCATGTCCAGCATGCGTTATGCGATACAGCTGATTGTATTTTGTTAATGGAAATTAAAATTAATGTGAAAGGCAATAGAGATGAGGATGTAGAATAAGTTAAACTAGCACTTGATCGAAAAATATTTGAATTCTTATTCATACTTAGAACTGGAATTGGTTGTTTTAGTATCTTTGTGTACATACAAAACATCGACATAGTCCGCAATGACCTTACCGCGGAAGGTTTTAGATATTTGTTTGTTTAATAGGAAATCATTAATTATAATCTTTTCCATGAGTCAGGATTTTCATATTTCTTAGAATTCGTTGGTATTTTAAGTGCTTCAGATAAGCTGGAATGCTCCATTACAACGAAGGCGACAGTAAATTCATTGTACAGATTTTTATTTGCTGCCGAGTTACTCAGTTAATTCCACGTCCGATGACTAACAGCTGTAGAACCAATCAGTATACCTACCAGCATAATACCTACTATATGTACTATAACACTACAAATACTACACTTAAAATTGTTTTCCTCTCCTCTATGATACAATACCTTAATGAACTTTATATTTTCAAATTATCCGCAGTAGGTATTTACATTAAATCGATTGGTTACATTTAAATACTCGTATAGTCAAAATGTTGAGTTTTACTTGCACCACAGATAAATGGCGGCCATGTTGTGAATCATTCTCAATATCTGCGCAAGCGTCGTTATTCCCCTTGCGCAGGAAACTATGGATATGAGACTGGGTTCATTGGAACAATGCGAATTATCTAAGGATTGGACTTTACGTCCTTGGAATGGAAGGTTCAATCAATAAAATTAATTACAGTATTTTTCTTTTGGTGAAAATTATTCTACTTAGTATGTCATATTGGAGATGTCTCCTCCCAACAGATGGCGATAATAAAGACGTGACAATGGCATTTATCAATCTTTTTAAACGGTTAGTAACCTTTATCGCATCCATATTTAAAATTATGCAATCAAAGAATACCGCTAATTTATCTGACCATAAAATTAAATAACCTTACATTTCAATTTGAGATAAACAAATAGCTGAACGTAATTTCATTTTGTTTTAAAACAAAACGAGAATACGTCATCGGGAATATACTAATTCCAATGAAAAGGAAGTTTACGGAAGAAAAAATGTAAAATCCTGGCATGTAATCGTATTATGAAAATGCCAATGTAGACGTCAATATGATGACTAAACGAGGTTCAGGTCAAAAAATAATAAAAACAAGGAAAAAACAAAATATGTTTAATGTATTGAGAAACTGTTGAGAAATGCCTAATGTCCAGTTGACGCATTTTGGATTATTTCAACTCCGTACAAACGAAGTTTTGACCTACATTCAGTCCTCAGATAATAATATGGTTCAGGACCTCAAACTGCAAAAAACCGTAGTTCCATTACAATAAATGAAAGGAAAACGTCTAATAAAATGTAGGGTGTCAAGTATAAAGATACTTTTATTATAAGTACGGTGACGTGATTGTACGGGCCATGTCCTTATTGTAGGTCACAAACACATATGGAAATAATTTGTACAAGTTATGAGGAAAACGCATTTAGCTAAATAGACATAGTTGACGAAGGTGTGTGATCTATAGGTAATTTTATAATTATTTC